GAACTTCTGGCCAGAGAAAAAACACGTAATATGTAACCAACATTTGGAAGAATGTTTTCAAGATGACTTGGATAATAGCGCGTTGTGACAAACACCAGATACAGCACTGGGACTTGATCAACAGCCGATACCGCACCGTGACGTCACTAACCAGTAGGTGGCAGTAGTGTTCTTTGACAAACATGGATGCCTCCAGTAAAGCACATTCACATGAAAATTACTCTGAATTAGAAAAACATTATTAATTGAAAAGTATGCAATAATTCCATATTTAAAATATTTTCAGGACTTTTCCTTTAACGAAATTTGTCATGTGAATGAAGGCAGCAGGGTTGACATAAACATTGCTAAAAAAAAAAGAAAGTAAGTGAACAAAGATATACATTTCCTACCATAAGTATTGGTTTTATCTTATGTTGAAAAATAAAATAGAAACGGTTATGGTTTCCCAAAATTACTTGTTTTGTAATTATATAAATATATATATTTATTATTTTTGCTTTTTAAATACCAGGATTTGAAAATATCTTGATATTTGTCTATCTTATTGCAATATTTTCAAGTATTAATTGTTGTCATCTTTCACTTTTTCGATCGGGCAGACTTTCAGCCTGATTGTGTGTTGTGCATCGTGTAGTGTATAGGGGGTAACGAGGGGCGATCAGCCTCTCACGACCACCTCCCGATAAGGAATCGTGAGGTCGGGAGTAAATCTAACTGACATGATGCTTGACCAGACTCTCAAACAAGGGACAACTGCGGACACAGAGGCAGATTTAACTGTTTATTTCCTGGTTTAATGGAGCAGAGCTCAGTCAACTTAAACAGCAACAGGGAGAGAGAGAGTCTGAGTTTGGATCCTTTTCCAGAGGAGGGTCTTGTGTTGTATTGAGGGTGGACACACAGCCTGATTGGTCCTGTAAGGAGTCACTGGAGAGGAGACAGTTCCAGAGCAGCGAGGAGATGATGGAAACGGACCTGATCCTGGTGATCTGGTTCTGTGGAGGAAGAGAGCAAGGAGAGGTTAGAGAAGAATCTGGGAGCTTAGTTCGCTAACAGAGCTTGACCTGTTTTACCACGGAGAGAGTGGAACCAACTGGCAGCTTGTTCCAGGAAACTGCTCCAATATAAAAGCCCCCACTGATTGTCATCAAGGAGTAACAGCTGGAACCTATCAAGCCTGCCACCCTGTAAGTAAACAAAACACAAAAATCTAACAGTACCCCCCCCCCTTCAACGGACGCCGCCTGGCGGACGACCTGAAACAGAGACCGCCGAACACTCAAAGTCATTGATGAGGGAGGGATCCAAAATGAAGGAGCCTGGAACCCAGGACCACTCCTCAGGACCATATCCCTCCCAGTCCACAGAGTATTGCCTACCCTGATACGGGCAGTGGGAGGGAGCTTGGGAAGAGGACACAGGGCACTTGAGAGGTAGGGCTTGATCAGGGAAACATGGAACACAGGATGCACTCGGAGGTGGGAAGGCAACTTGAGGCGAACAGCAGATGGACTAAGAACTGACTCAATGATGAACGGACCGAGGAATCTATGGGATAATTTGGGGGTGTATGACTTAAATAGAAAGTGTTTTTCAAGACAACTAAACTCTTTGACCAGGTATGTAGATAGGAGCCGGAACTCTCTTGCGATCAGCAAGACACTTATTTTGGGCAGATGTCCTTTGAAGACCAGCCTTAGTCTTATTCCAGATTCTTTGGCAGTTCTGTTTAAGGTGTTTGACAGAAGGGATGATCTTATCTGGGAAAGTGTTTGATAGAAATTAAGGCTGGAAACCTTGAGATGCCTGAAAGGGAGACAGACCTGAGGCTGATGATATATGAGTGTTATGGGCAAATTGCAGGGTAAGTGTGCACTCCATGAGGTGGGGTTGGAAGCACAAACACACCGAAGGATATTGATTGAGTTCTTGATTGAGGCGTTCACACTGTCCATTAGATTCGGGATGAAAACCAGAAGACAGGCAAGGCCGTGCACCAAGAGCTGAACAGAAGTTTCTCCAGACCTGGGAGACTAATTGGGGTCCTTTGTCAGAAACAATTTCTGTTGGGATTCCATGAGGGAAGACGTGATAGAAGAGAAGTCTAGCTGTTTCTAATTCTGAGGGGAGTTTGGAGAGAGCAACTAGATGACAAGCCTTAGAAAAACGATCAGTGATGCTGAGAATAACCTTTTTATGTTTGGATGTGGGAAGACCAGTAACAAAGTTGAGGGAGATGTGGGACCAGGGCCGACTAGGGATGGACTACGGTTGCAGGAGACCAGAGGGGGGATTATTGGACCTCTTGTTTCTAGCACAGGTTGAACAAGCAGAGACATATTCAATAGCATCCTTATTCAAGGATGGCCACCAGAAATATCGACGGAGTAGACCAATATTTCGACTTACTCCAGGATGACAGGAAAATCATGATGAGTGTGCCCAATGGATGGTGCCAGCACAAATGGAGGTGGGAACATACCAACGGTTAGGTAGACCTCCGCCTGGGTCTTGTTCTGAGATCTGTGCCTCCTGGATAGCCCCTTCCAGATCCCAGGTGAGGGAACCAATGGTACATGTGGTGAGAAGAATGGGTTCAGAAGACTCTGGGGGGTCATCAGGAGAGTGAAGTCTGGAGAGAGCATCTGGCTTGGTATTCCTGGAATCTGGACCATAGGTGATATTAAGATTGAAACGGGAGAAGAAAAGGGACCAACGATACTGTCGTGGGTTTAGGCGCTTGGCAGACTGAAGATATACCAGGTTCTTATGGTCTGACCAAATCATTACTGAGAGTTCAGTTTCTTCTAGCCACTGCCTCCACTTCTCGAGAGCATAATCAAAGTGGCAGATATCAGGAAATCCTACCAATGGCTAGAGAAAGCTGGACTGAAGGACAGCACAGAGGCACTCATCATGGCTGCACACGAGAAGGCCCTAAGCACCAGAGCAATAGAGGCCCAGATCTACCACACCAGACAAGACCCCAGGTGCAGACTGTGAAATAGAGGCCACTGAGACAATCCAGCACATAACTGCCGGGTGC